ATGTCAAGGTGAGCTAAAAACGGAAACGGGATGCTATTTCATAAGCGACAGTGTGGGCAGTGCGGAATGACCATGTGAAGACCATCTGAATTTTGATGTGTAGAACGAACTCAATGCTGAAATCAAAATACTGTATCAATTTACAACATTCTTTATTAGAGCACTAACGTAGAATTTATGAGTATGTTTTATTGCAAATTTGTTTAAAATACGGGGTTTATGAAACTGCGTGCGGAAACATTCAGTCATATATTGGCGTTCACTGATTTAGCTTCACTTGATAAATTAGCTGATAGAGGTACAAATAAATAGAGGCTGTGCTTTCACGTATGGACTATTAATTTTGTTCTGATGAAAAAATATAAACAAGTAAAAAACTTGCAGTGATAGAAAATTAAATTTCATATAATTGTCACCATGTTCTTGGCATGTACAATCCGTATATATGTAAAAATTCACACAATATGGTATTGATATAAAACTGTTTCCTAATGATAAAATCATAAAACAACAACACAGGTACCGACATAAGTAACCAATGAAGCAAGTACATCTATACTTCACACAATTAAGAACGGTATATACAAAGCGGCACATGAACGAATATGTATAATATCAATTCAAGCCATCAGTAAAAATACACAAGCAGAGTGCAAAGTTGGCTTGTTGTTGTAAAATAATATTAAACTGATTATGTGTAACAGTAACATTTGAGTACATTTATGGGATTATGGATACAATTTACGTATACATACATACACGTAAAAGATAGTTATTGCTCATGCAGGTAGACCTGTACAACCTGACAACAATCTAGGTTAATTGGAACTGAATGCCAAGTAGGCCCATGAAAAATGTGGACACTTCTTTGTTTATTTGTCAACATAAGAACGTCTTTTTCAGTTAGAAAATCAATTCTACTACATAGTGTGGTGTGCTACTCTATCAATTGTTTTCTAATGTAAATGATGCTATTCCATTATTTTTACGGATGACGGTGACTTTATTATAGTTATATGTGACCGGTGATAGCAAAATGAGTCACTTGGGGCAATTTTGACATTTTAGGTTGAATACATATTCAGATACCTGAGATTCATAGCTTTCTATTTTTATATAGATATTGAAAATTGGTTGAAAATGAATATTTTATGACCATTATAAATCGAGATACCATGCGATTAAAATTTCCTGAGAATTGTATAAAATAAGGGCTGAAAACTAATATCATTCACTGATTTTTCTAGCCGACACTTCTTATAAATCATTCAATTTAAGCAGGTTTTAATTGAATTAAGACATTTTTGCTTATACAGAATAAAAGTAAACATTGTTTTTGTTTTTTTTAATTGATTGTACAGTAGAATGCTACTGTGCGACTTCCGACTCATTTGGCTATCACGGGTCACATGTCTTAGAGCTGAATTCATAGTCACTTAGAAAGTCTGCTCACCTGAACAACGTAAACTATGTATGTTCCACGTTACGACTGTAGATGGCTAATTATTCACAATTTCTGATTAATATCACCTTTATATATGCACGCAAGCCATTCTATAAATTACACCAGACATACTGATTGTGAAAGTTGATTCTGGTGAGTCCCCTACATTTAACTCACACAAAAATAAAATCCCGAATCGTGATTCTGAAATATGTCTCACTTTACTTTGATTTGTTATGAATGCAATATAGTTTACTTTGCACATAATTGTACAAATTACAATTCCACTAAAGAAATACCTCCATTACATAAACGTAACCTCTTGATTATGTATGTTACTCGGATATCTAGTCGATAACAGCAGCCAATAAATGTAAATTGAGATATATGTTCCGCAAGAGAGATTTATAAAATGCATTATGTTGCAATGATCAACAAGAAACGTGTTTCCACAGGTGATCCTTCTAATATGCATCACTGCCATGCCAGCAAAAGTGACTACAAAAACCAAAATAACATACTTCACTCATGAGGCCATAGTATTGTGTCCTACTGGTGTGTATATATGGAAATAAAGATGACCTATCGTATACTACATTTCATTTTGCCAAGAAACCACTAGACCCTGAAACGATATGCCATATGGTTTACATAATAGAAACATTCATGTGTTAATAATTATCTATGCAATAACTTATATGCGTTGTTACTCAAACGACAAAATTACCTTGTTGTATGCATGCCCGCAATGACACTTCGCAAACGTAAACTCGTCTACATACCATATCACATGCATTTACTTCGTTACGCTATATTATCCTGGTTTAAAAAAGCCACATCAAATTGGCACCAGCATCGAATTTGGTTCAACTTTTAACCATTACAACACAATATATAGTTTACATAGTGCAATGAGTGATGCCATGATAATAACCATATAAAGATCATGATGACATACTAAGTGAATGAATAGGGTTACTATAGCAACACACATTACGTTACACGTACATAATGTAAAAGCCTACAACCAGTGCACTAATCATCGTACATACACTGATATGACACAGTACATTGTTATATGCTGTCTATCATAATGGGAACACCATAAACACCTTATCCAGATGAGACGGGATACTAGAGAAGCGTTGCCGAAAGGAGATGTTGATCCGAAGCGCTTAAGCGCAGATCTTGCGCACAGTTCCGCGGCAAGGCGCACACGACCGCGGGAACGTCCTACGACAGTATGCAGCGCTGGCAGCTATGGATCCGTGCGCCGAATGAGTCACATGTTTTTATCTTTGGTACACCCGTACCGCTGCACCGCAGCACCGCTGTGCGGTTGCTTGGCAGGGCAACGCGAAAGTGTCAACAACATCGGAGAATTTGAACAACATTGGAGGTATTTTCAAATACCTTTTATAAGACAACGCGCCGGCGCAGTGAAATGGGAGGAACTAGTTTATTTTGTCATAAGGTACCGTTAGTGTGATTATGCATGACGACGTGGATATTCATCCGAGCATCGGACACCTATTCGTATGCGCTATTCGGCCGAGCAGCGTACCGCGCCGCAGGCGCACGGCCTCTAGTGCCGGAGATAGGAAGTGTAAATGGGGGTCTGGGGGGTTTCCCTCCAGCCAATTTTAAAATCTAGACGCTCTAAATTTTATTATATTATATTATATTAGGCTTATATTTTGCCCTTTAGGCTTTTTGCCTCGTGTTTTGCTACGCAGACCTACGGCTGTGACGCCTCTGCATACATGTGTTGCGTATGTGGTTATACATCATAGATAGTGTTTGGTACTATCATTCGCCTATATAAGCAAACCAAGTCGATTAATAATTAGTGGCAGGTTTAGATTGTGGTTAGTATTAGAGTTAGGTTAGAGTTAAATAATTAGTGGTAGGTTTAGATTGTGGTTAGTATTAGAGTTAGGTTAGAGTTAAATAATTAGTGGTAGGTTTAGATTGTGGTTAGTATTAGAGTTATGTTGGAGAGTGGGCGACTCCCTAGACTAGCATTATATTACATTTATGTAATACAACATGAACAGCGCATGCGCAGCAACTGCTCGGACGAATAGCGCATACGAACAGGTGTCCGATGCTCGGACGAATATCCACGTCCTAAGATAATATAGGATGATATCCGGCCCAAGGATAAAGAACATGGGTCCCAATAAAACCAATTTGCCTAAACCGAACCCTAATTCTAACCCTAACCCTAACCCTAACCATAACCCTAACCTATTATATTGATATAATATTATATTTATATTGATGTAAATGACATTGGTTTTATTGGGACCCATGTTCTCTATCGTTGAACCGGATATAGGGCCATATTATCTTACTCCTGGTAGTAGTAGTACTACTACTGGGCAATTCCACGGTAACGGAATTACAATTCAGATAAATTTTTGTCTTAGTTTTACCTGCCATGGCTTAGTCCAACAGCTGAACTGATGAACTAAACCCTTATTAGTTCTGCTGATACAGCTTTTTTGGTAAAAACATAGTTCAGAGAAATCCCTTACAATTTGCTCAGCCTATGGCCCTGATTAAGATGCCTATCAATTTGCATTAGCATTCCCTGAACAATTTATATGATGAAAACACCCTCAAAATGTGTCATGCGAGTCACAAAAGAAATAGAATTTTTAAGTTTGTGAAGAAAATAGAAAGGGTAGTAACAAATGCTTGATACTGTTAATTCGTCTAGTGCTACCTCTTTAGTTTAGTCGAGTATATTTTTATTTATCCTCCAAGAAAAAACCACCTCAAACATGTCACGCGAGTCACATATATGTGGGCTGTCATGCGAGTCACGTGCCTGCACTGTGTACCATTATGAGAGGAATGATGTTTTTTCAAACAAATACACAATTTGGGAAGTAAGCACTGACACTTTGAACATACAACCACATGAAAGTCACTAATAAAAATGAAAATAGGATATCGCAAACTATTCTGGTTGACTCGCGTGACGGGCTACTAACACATGTTTTGAAGTAAAAGTTAATACTTAGTTACTACCAGGGCTCGAATTAACCGACGGTGATTGCAGTCGGTTCCCCTATCAATCGCCGTACTGCTCCTGAAAATCCAACCCGACCGACGGCAGTGACCTGCCTTGCCCTTTTATGTAATTGCCGTCTGTGCCCTTTAATCTACTGCCCTGGTTTCGTTTTTAGTCGAGTCAACATGATGCGCGTGTGTGTGCTGTAGTTGCAATGATGAGCTTAAAACCAATAGTCGCAGGAGGGAATAATAACAGCATGGGATAATTATTCGCTCCTGATAGTGGGCATGTAAATTTTGTTGTTACTGTACTTCCATTAGCAAGTGGCGATCTCGAGCTGTACGTCGACCTACTGACTGATGGCTCATTGATAGACTCCTCTAGGCTTTAAGAACTTAATTGATGATGGTTTATGTTGAATGGATCTGGTACAAATAGTGTAGTCAGTTGCAATGTATAATTTGAAATGTGTTTGTCTTGAAAGTACTGTATGGAATATATACTTATCTCAATAATTTTGACTATTTGCAGTTGCCGTTTAGATGTCTACATATATCAGCCACGGGCATCTCAAGTGAGCTTGGAGCTGGAAGTACGACTATAGCATCTGACTTATCAGAAGACGATGCACACCATTGTCCAGCTTACATCATGTGGAGGCAGATCTATCTATTGACTCAGTACACGGCACGAAATGTCACCTTGGACCCATCCGGAACGTCAGCTTTTGAGTGTGAACATCACCGCGCGGAATTTCATCACAAGTCAAGAAGAATCAAGAGTATTGCTCGGTTATAATACCAGTTGCATGCAACCTCATGACTCACCATCACTTCAACCTTGCTGGCCCTCAGACGAAGACTACTCAACCAAGATGATACCTGATTCCATGATGTATGCATATATATACGACACATGTTTATATCTTATGAAAGAGGATAGTCCATAGTGAGAAGGTGAGCTTCCTCTTCCACCCAAGCTATCAGTTGCCCTTTTAGTTTTACCAACCATTGAATGTATGCTTCCCTCCATCTGAGATCCATCAACAAAGACTAACAAAAACTGCAAAGAGATGATCCAGTGATGAGCTGCTAATTTCATCACCAACTCCACTACCACCAACACCATTGTCAAACTACTTATGGAGACAGTGTCATCGCCGTGCAAGAGCCACCTGGGAAGAGCAGCGGGCAAGTGATTGGCGCTCAGGACTTCAGGCTGAAAAGTCTGAAGTTTGGATTCCCACATTGATCACTGCTCTTGTGAGCATGAGCAAGGCACTTTATTCCAGTTTGCTTGGAGAAGGGAGTGACTTTCATAAGTCACTAGTGAGGAGATAAGCTTCCTCTGCGACCCTTGGCTACAGGGTGTCCTTGGGCAAGGCATAGCACCTGTTTAGCCTCCCGTGCCAGGGTGACGGTGAAGATGTCTAATGTAGTGGAGACGTGCGAGTGGCTGACCACAGCATTGACCTAATTGGAGGGAAGAGGAAACATAGCTAAAGGAGTGCTGCTCTGCTAGATAATCCACAATGAAGAAGGTAAATAACACCAGAATCTTTCTCCCATTAAATATATGCTAGTCACTCAAGAAGATGGAGACGACTTGTTTTCTAGATATTACAGCACAAGCAAAACTAATTTAGTGAATTGCAATATATATAGATATAAACGTGTTTGTATCAAATTCAGTGATCAATATTTTGACGTTATCTGGTTGGCAGAACCAAAATTTTCCAGCAATTTCAACCAACTCTATACATGTTCTGTCACTTTGATGGTATCTGTTTTCAGATAATTGGATAAGAGGAGGGATAATTGGTGCCAGTGTGTTGAGTCATGAGGCTGGGAATGGAGCAAGATGTCTTTTCCTCCATTCAAACACCATGCGTACTTATCATTTGGAGTCTTGGACCAACAATACAAAGTGAGTAGTTCCTATCCGTGTCTTAGGGAAGAGCGTGTCTTGTGGGCATGTTGTGAGGTGCAGCATGTAGTGAGAAAGTATGAGAGATGGTAAAGGATGGGGGATGTATACATATATGCGTGCATGCGTTCATGCATGTGTGTATGTGTCGAGAAAGAGAGTTTTTGTTGTTTATGAAAATTCCCAATTTTATGGTTTTATCAAATTGATTAGGGCTGTCTGAACTGTTATATTTGGAATCAAACATAAGAAATGTAAATTATATGAAATATCCATAAATATGTTGACTGAAATGATCCGTTATAATATCTCCTAACGGGTTGCTTATTAATGTAATCACCTATACTTATGCAATAATAATCTCACACTCATTCATTGCAGTTTTGTCTTTACTGTTGTTACAGAACAAGGAACCAGGACTTCAAACTCAGGATTCAGGACTTCAAGACTTCAGGACTTCAGGACTTCTGCTGAAAAGCTGCATAACACTGGTGTGCCAGGGGGGTGAGACAACACCTTTTGGCTGGTCAGAGCATGGGAAATCACACCTCCCCCCTCCCAAGACCGTGGGAGTTAGGGTTGGGGTGTCCGGCTCGCAGGTTTACCCTGGCACAATCGCACATATACAGTGTACGGATATATATATATACGTGTGTGATATATAAAGCGGTTATATATGTACCTAGCTACAATCTTATACGTGTTGTACTTAGGTACAATGTACTCAGATGTTTGTGTCTATATGTTGTTAACTGCGCGGAAAATTCGGTTGTGCGGTTTAGTTCGAGTTTCGCGCACCGGTGACTTTGGCGCCTACGAGACGTTAACACTTAACTTACTAGCATTTAAACCAATTCATTACCGTTAAAGCCAATTCACTCACTTCAAATTCAACTCTATTCGTCACAAGTACGTAATTTGCAGCAAAAATAACGTAACGTAAATTATACAGTTTCAAAGTTGTAATTTGCAGCAACTCTCGCCACTAGATGGCATTCGTCGTAGATGTGGAAGCAAATTGATTTGTACTGTATTGCACATGTGTGTGAATGTAGAATAAATTTTCTAGGTGTTAGTTTTTTCAGATGGATGATTGCAGAGAGTGACCACGAGAATGACCGTGAGTGTAACAGGGGGGTAGTGAAGGGGGAGGGGGGGGAGTGGGCACAGGGGAGGGGGAAGGGCGGGAATAGGGGGAGGGGGGAAGGAGGGGCAAGGTGGGGGAGGGGGTAGGGGGGAGGGGGGAGTTAGGTTAGAGCTTGCAGTGGGGCAGCATAGGTTAGGTTAGCTCTGCTCTAGAACTATAGCGCTCCAATCCGCAGCTGCGTAGCGGCGTTGAGCGGAGGTCTTTGGTTCTAGAGCGCGGGCTTAGCTTAGCTTAGGTGGAGTGAGAGGTAGAGTGACACAAGAGGGAGAGAAAGTGAGTGTAATTGAGAGTGCGAGCGAGAGTAAAAGCGTGCGTGAACGTGTGTATGAGTCTGGGAGAGCGCGCGCGAGAGGGAGAGAGGGAGAGTAGAGAGATAGCTTAGATAGAGAGATAGTTAATATGCAAATTATAAATTTTATGAAGCCAGTTGTATTTTGTAAATAAATCTTTTATTTTTAACAAATATACAATTGATATAATAAAATATTTATACTAAACTAGCTAATTCTTGATTTTCTTTTTCTCTCGACTCCTGAAGTCAATCGTACACTGACACAAAATGAACACTAAGCACTAAGTTTATCTATGCGAATCTAAGCGAACTTAGAAAATACTGCATCAAATGATATATACTCGACTTATCATTGACATTAACTTATATACGATTGACTGGCTATCGATATGAACTACAGAGATCCGACCGCACGACAACTTAGTATGTAAACTAAGCAATTCGTGTTAAACATCTCAATAGAAGATGAAACTGAGAGGTAGTAGATGAAACTGAGAGGTAGTAGATGAAACTGAGGAGCAGTAGATAGAACATAGGTTTAGGAGATGCGACAGAGCATACAGTAATCTTCACTTAGTACACGTCAGCTAGTTTCTTATATCGCGTAGAACATAATGGACAAGTCATTGCTGTTGTCGATGAAGGTCCGCATGGGGGCGCCACGATCGCAGAGAAGACTAGCACGTTGTATAGACGGTCCGTCTGTCAGCCGCGTGTTTCTAGAAGAAAATGGAGATCGGAAACGAGTTCAGATCAATATATTCCACTGTATGCCGAACAATAAACAATAACAAATAATCAAATGTAAAAATCAACTCGATGATATATGTAAGGTATATCGTAATGATTTTTCTTCTTAAAAGAGAGAGGACTGCCTTACATTATTGCCATGATTTTACATGTGAAGTGAATGCTTTGAATAATGAACGTCGGTGGGTATGGACGGGGCAGCAGTTAAAGTGGAAAGGCGTAGCAGGTGGGGTCTAATATTATAGCAGGGGGGTGGTGAATAATACATTTTCGACTAACTTTTGTTGGTTGCAAAATTATTTAGCCAAAGTTAAAATTTCTATGGCTTTCTCTCGTGAATCCTGACTATTAAATCAAAGCAGAGCGACCTCACTGATTGTGTCCTTAGCAGATCCTTCCGTGACCTGAACATGTGGGGTTGGGTGAGGAGAAATGAGTTAACATTACCTTGTACACTGACATATAAGTGAATTAGCAGGGGGCGTAACTTAAACAAATTATTGGAGGGAAGCAAATTTTCGTATGACAAGGTAATACATTTAACGGGTTCAAGAAAATAAACGCCATGTAGGCATGAATTACCCACTGAAGGGTCTTACTATGATGCTGAAGGGTTTATTTTCTTCTATTATAGTACTGGCATTTATCAGCATTTATATTTACATTTACACGAATTTACTTGCATCAATTACTTTCACCATTTTTCTATACGCATTTAATAGTCTGTATAATATCAAGAGAGGTATTATTAGCTCTTGATAATATATAGTTTTATCATCCAAAATTTGGTGAGCAGCAGTTACCTCCCCCCCCCAAAGGTCATGATCATGACAAAAAACGAGGGGGACTACATATATTATACTCTCTACAGAGGGAAGCCCGCCACTCAAATACTGCTGCTTCCCCCTGTCTGCAAATCTCTTATAAGAGACACATATGAACAGTACGCCTAGCTATAACCGCAGACTAAACAAGAACAAAACTATCTGTTGATTATTCACGTTTATAACTGCGTGCGCACGTACGTAAGCACGGGTGTGCGTGCGTGCGTGCTCGTCCGCACATGTCTGTGTGTTCACCTGTGCTTGCCTGCGCGTTCATACATGTGTGTGCGTGTGTGTATGCGCGCGGGGTTGTGTGTGTGTGTGTGTGTGTGTGTCAAGGGTTACAAGTCCCAAAAACGCGTCATGTCATCTGAACTAATGAAAAGGCAGATTTATTTAATAAGTCTAGACTTGGTAAATTAGCGCAAAAAGCCATCATTGCTTATTATAATTTGCTGTTGAATGCAGTATGCATATTCGGCAGACATCTGTCTGAGTGAAAAAAAGGATCGAAGTTTGGACCCTCCAGTACCTCAGCCTAAAGTTTGAGTCAATCATTCGTCAAAAACTCCAGGAAAAACTTCCTCAAATATGCCCTAACCTGAATGGTAGTATTTACCTAATACTTCCAAGATGACCCTTAGGGGGCAATCCGTAAAAAAGGTCTGGTCCCTGGGGAAAAAGGTAATGCCTAAACTCTTGACCCTTTTTGACCCCCTTTGAATTATTCTTTAAATTTGTATTATGTCTCACAGCAGCAGATCAAGCAGCTTTTATTTTGAGTGTTGAATAAACGCTCTACTCTAAAAAACTGAGCATTTCCATTACATTCCCTTTACATTATGCTAAAAGTTATTGATTTGAAAAATTGCAAATCACAGAAAAAGGGCTTAAAAAAGGGCCTTAATTTGAAAAAACTTTGAATAGCATCCTACCTAGCGCAGGTGCCCCACCCCATGTACTTAACTACTAAGGTGGATGCCATTTCTCTACCTCCAAGTGATTTAAATCCTAATTTCTGGTCCCATTGCTGCTCTACTATAGACATCTTGCCAGTTACAAAAACTGTACTGTTGGCAACTACAATGTGTCAACAAAGTATGACAGGCAGACAAAGTAATTAATTGCAGCCGGATTGCACAAAGTACCGCCAAGATATCCTCATGCAATGAGACATCGGCAGCGAAAAGTATTTGCTAGGACCTACCGCTGAGGTCCACTGTAAGAAGGAAGCCCGTTTCGTGGCCAACGAGCAAGCATTCCGGCTGAACCGACTCAATAGGCCAAATCCTAGAATCAAGGAGCAAATAAGATTGAGACTTAAATACAGAATAAAATTCATTATAGATAGATCACGCTGATCGAAAATACGGAGTCTAGGAGTTAAGACCAAGCAGTACATGACTCTAACTCTAAACACAGATAAAGAGCAGTAATTTCGCTAATTGCGACGCTGCTTATCACAAACAGATTCGCCAGTGCTACAATTCTACAATAGATTGCAATCATGATCAATTATGAAACCCCCAAGATCCCCAAAAACTCCTCCTTCCCCTAGAACAATACCACATCACAATCTCGCTATCACCACCCATGCCTACGAGTAGGCGTATCTCTAACGAACACATCGCAGATTCGCAGTCTGCGTAACCCGTACCTGCACGCCGGCGAAGCCGTTCCCCGACCATTGCCGATGGACTGCTCCCTGCGTCTGCACGCGCGTGCGGGGCGACCAGCTGCCTCCCCGGGTGACGACCGGAGGCTGCTGCCAGCATCATGTACTGCTTCGCGGCGCAACGGACGCCGTGGACCGATACGCCGGTGCAACATGAACCAGGACTGCGGTCGGCGACACAGCGACGGGGCCCCTGCGCCACCGCAGAGGGGCTGATGACGAAAACCGGCGACGCTCACCGAGAACTTATAAAACAACACCAGCTGCTGGCTGCACCATACTCATTCGCTGGCAACCCGATGTAAACAAATATCTTCTAACTTATTCTTTCTTCCTTGCTACATTTCAGCAGGTTTTTTGTACCCTAGTCTTATATGCGTAGCGTGACCAATGGGGAGCCTTACTCACGTATTAGCTTCACTCGGCAACCATTCGACAAATATATTGCGTAATCATATCTACGCACTACATCATTAATATTAAATTACATTACATTATATCACATACCCACTAATTAGTAAAATACACTAACATTCTAACCTTATACATGATGAGCAATCCAAATCATCACCCTGAATCCTATAAATCTGTATATAAACATTAAAAAACATGAGACAGTAATCGTAATTCGGGTAAATCGACATAAAAAACATACGCTACGGCTCGCACCGTGGGCGACTCCCGTTGTCGATGTGACTACCCTTACTGCCGTCGGCGTTGTTGAGAAACAACAGACGGCAGTGGCGCGCCCCTGCATCTGACCGCTCACCGATCTTCGCACGTTGACCGGTCTGCTGGCGAGCGGGGTCATCAGCGTCATCGCACGAGTTCGACGGCGATCAGCTGGAACTCGACCGGACACGTTCACCACAACTCCCGCCGCAGCCGAGTGCAGTTCGGCCGCGGCGACCTGCGTGCGGTCGGCGACTGATCTGCTGCGGCGAGCGCCAGCGACGCCTCCAGCGAGCACGGCGGGTAGGGGCCGGTGAGCGGCCGCAGCAGCGGAACGTGCAGGCAGTGCCCGCGCTTGGGCGCGGCGACGTGTGGCGCCGCCCGCGGGACCGTGCGTCAGAGCGGAAGGAACGATGTGAGCGAGCAGATACGCTGCGGGTTGTCCGATGCCTGTTTGTGGAAGCAGGCGGCATGCCTGCTCTCGAGAGCTCGGCTGCCGCAGACGCAAAGCTGGGCTGACGGCAGACTCGCCACTCGTTGCCGGGTTACGCAAAGCTTCACGGATGCTACGTCGCCACGCCGCCCGCCAGGGGGCGCCGCCGACACGCCCGCCTGTCGGCAACCGACGAGGCGGCGACAGCCAAGCGGCGCCCGCTGGCGAAGAGTAACGGATGCCCGGCGCCGCGTAGTTCATCATCGCGAAAAGACCAGACGGAAAAAAAAAAAAAAAAAGAACAAAAAAGAAAGAAGAAGACAAGCAACGTGCAGCTTGGGGCGTCACGGCCCTGCCGACGCGGAGATCTCGCTGCTGGCGGCGAGAACGGGCGGCCGCGTTCGGCGTGGCCGACCGCGCCAGCGAGATCGGCAGGTGCGCCCGTCCTCGTCGCGCCACCCGAGCGAACGGCACGTCGGCTCTCACGAGGGTTCTCGCGCGCTGCGTTGCCGCGGCAAACCCGTCCTCGCACGTACTGCGGGATAGAAGCGTGCATCACCATGATCTCTGCCGCGGCAAGCAGACGCCAGCCGCTAGATGCGCCAGCGCGAAACTGCGGCCGCGGGCACGCCGCGCTTGCTGCGTCCGCGCTGCCTCTGCCGCGGCGCCAGCCCGCTCCCGTCCTCGCGTCGACGACGGCGCACGGAGCGACGGAGGCGGGTGGCCACGAGGGGCGCCGGCCGTGCGGGCGCGGGCGGATTTGCGACGGTTACTGATCGATAGCTTACGGGCATCTCCGCTGAGTATCGCGCCGCGCCTGCTGCACGCCCTGCAACTCGGTTGCACGGCGAGAAACGAACCAGATACCCTCCCTCCCTCCTCCTCCGTTCCTGCGCTCGCTGCCTTCTCTGCTGCTTGGCCCACAGGCTGAGCGGCGGTGTGTCTCACAGCTGACTGCTATGTGTCCACGGGCTGACGCGCCTGTGTGTCCACAGGCTGTCCGCTGTCTGCTTTGGTGTCGGACTACTGTCGACCCAGCTCTGTGCCCCACACCTGTTTAGTGTTGTCCCACTGTCGTTTGGGTCTGTTCGCACTGTCTGTTTTAATGGCGTCACTGTCTTGCTTTTGTGACTGTCCGGCTGTCGGCGAACCATCTGTTGACCGACTGTCAACTAGCTTCTGACCTGGTATCTGACCAGGTATCGCTTTGCAGTCTGACGCGCCACCGTCTTCCCGGTCCTGCTACCGCTGCTGCCTCCCTCACTTCCCTGTCCCGCTGTCTGCCTCCTCGCCTCGTTGGTAAACCACGACAACCCGCAGCCAGCTGCGTCGTCATGGCGGGTCCACCACGGAGCGTCGACGCGC